CAGATGAATGTGAAAACATCCAAAAAATGTTACAACAGGTGTAAAATTCAATGTTTTATTTACAAAAGCCAGTTAAACAGGAAGCTTCCTTATGGTACCGTGTACTAGTCTGTGTAAGAGAGTGTGAGTGTGTGTGTGTATGAGAGAAAGTAACGAGGCTAGTCGACTGCAGTCTGTCTCAGAGCGTTTAATCATCAGGACCAGTCAGATTCACCGCTTCATCAAAATCTCCACCAATAAAACCTCAGGACCTTTTTACTACCAACGCTATGCTAACATTCTGTACATTTCATTCATTCATTCAAGTATCCTTTTCATTCCTTTGTGTGTCCATCTGACCATTCACGTCCATAAAATTGCTCATTCATGCTTTATTTTTTTACTCAGTCACTCATTCATTCATGCGCACACCGGACTCAAATGCAGTCTGGTTACATTTGGCCTGGCTGTTAATCCATTCGTCCATTCATCAGGGATGCTATTTATATCCGTATGAAGCACCAACCATTACCATTCATTAGATTAAGTATAGATCATACAGAGCTTTTAACTGTTTAAACAAACCGGAATAGACCAGAGCCGTGCTTCAGAGCAGATTTGTGCAAAGTGTGTGTGTTAAAAATGGTAAAAGACGTTAAAAGTTTCTAGCTTGCACCATAAAATCATTTAGTGTGTGCTGCTTCCACCTACAGCACAGCGCGTCCCCAAATGATTCTAAGTTAATGCTGACAGGGACAGAAATGGCTGCAGACAGGAGCATTAGCATGTAGTAACAGGCAGAGATACATCATTAATATCCATCCATCTGGTGTGCAGCATGGCTCTGGTCGAGGCGGGTCTTTGTTCTAACCTAAAATACTCACTCTGACTGTGAGAAGTCTCGACCATCGGTTACCAACCTGACAAAAGCTCCCTCTCTGGCTCTGAAAACCAGGGTCTGTTAAAAACCTGCTCATACTTTCAGTCCTGTAGGGAACCAAAACCAGTGACCAGAATTTGGGCCTCGAACCTCAGTTTGTTAAAGAACCGATGGTCTTTGACTTATCACCCAATCAGAGAGCTTCACCTCAAATACTGACACACTGAGGAGCCAATGGGATCCAAGCAGGTTAATAATAATAATAATAATAATAATAATAATAACAATAACAACTCTATTGCTTGTAGTATAAAAAGTTGCGTAGTTCAATAATCATTTCATTCACTGTTTGTGTTTCTGAGGGTAAACAATAAAATCACAATACTGTCATCTGGATAAAAAAAAAACTAACACAAAAACAATACAAATCTGATATGGCAACCACTATAATACTAGTCTGTTGCTATGGAAACACATAGAAGGGCGGTTCTGTTGCTGTGGGAAATGGAAAAGATACATCGGACATGTAAGTCACCATGGTAACTGTTAATTACAGTATATATATTATTTTAAAGTCAGGTTATGCTGTTTGTTTCTGTTTCTCTACCACTCAGTTTGTGAGTCTGTCCCTCAACACAGTAGAAATCAGTAAATCAGTAATATGATATGATAAAATATGATATATGATGTTTTAAGGACTCAGAACAGCGCTAAAGCTAATGACATTTAACGGGGAACAAACTGTGCTAAACGTTTCACAAGAGGCACGGAAAACTGAAGTTATGAAGTAACTTATGAAGTAACTTATGAAGTAATGGAGCTGCTTGTGGAAAACAGCTATAGTGATGTCTTTCCCCACGTCCCAACTCAAGAGTAGAGAGTAGGGTCCCGCGGGTTAAACATTTCACAGGTCATTGTCTCTTACTGGATATCATGTAGGGGTGAAATGATCGTGCGTGGTTTGATACAGTAGGTTTGCAGTGCCGGGGGAAACAAAAAGCCAACTTAAAATCAGCCTTTTTGTGCATGAAGTCTGGTGAGGATGAGCTAAAACCACTTCTACTTTCAAAAGGTGCATCACAGTGTGGAAGATTCAAAGAGGTAAAGCTCAAATTACTTAAAGATATCACTGGTGTGTGAAATTGAGCCACAACTAAAAACAGCTGAGCTATTTAAAGGAACAGTGTCATTTTGGTGAAAATGCAAATTCACTTTCTTACAGAGTGAGATCAATACCACTCTCATGTCCTGTCCATTAAATATGGATGTTGGCTTAGCATAAAAGCCGGAAGCATGGAGACACAGCTCACCTGTAAAGCTAACTAACACGTTGGATCTTGTTTGTTTAATCTGTGCACAAACAGAAAGGCGAAAACAGCAAGTTGTCGCTTTAGGGGAGCTCTAGGTTTGCTTTAGAGGTGTTTTAGGCGTATATTGAGGCTAGCCATTTCCAACAAGCTAACCGACAAATAGTGAGAGTGGCATTCATTTTCTCATTTAACTCTCAGCAAGAAAGCAAACCGAGCACATTTCCAAAAATGTTCAAATATTCCTTTAACTGGAATGATTCAAAGACCTGACCACGGCCATGAGCAGGTTGTTCTGCGCCAAATCGTTCCACCCCTACATATTTAGTACCAAATCTGTCATGTCAATGTCCATCATCCTGGCCTAGCCCTCGACAGTGTGACAGCATCTCATCATCATAGCAACAGACAAAACAATAAACATGTAAACAAAAACAACAACAAAAGAACATAAAACGGATCATTTGAAGTTAATACATATTCAGAATGTTAAACTACTACGGATAAAAACATTATCATTGTGTCTGAGTGTGTGTGTGTGTGTGTGTGTGTGTGTGTGCAAACTCTCTGTACCATGTTGCATTTTGTGTGTGCGTGTAATTTGGTTAGCTAGTATGCTAAGCAGTTACAGCATGGCTTTCCATTTTAGCCCTGAGCTACGGGCTGAGTCCCATTCCAGCTGCTCGCTCCCTTCTATGCCTCCTTGCCTCTTTCCCTGGCAGAGAAAGACAGGAGGAGAAACTGACTGGAAAACCGTGGAAGGGAGCGGCACCCTGGGTTGAAACTTAGCACTGAACTGCTGTGGAACGCATCTCAACACTGCCTCATTTCCTCTCCTCTCCATTACTTCATCACCTTTTCCTTTTGAGGGGGGGGGGGAAAGAAGAAGGGAGGAGAAGGAGCAGGAGGAGGGAGGAGTCTTTGGCATTGAGGGGAGAAGAGGTGAAGCGAGGCTAAGAGAGGAGAGGAGACATTAACATTGAGACTTGTCCTCCTGCAGATAGTGGGTCTTTCTGTGAAGCTGTGGGAGGGGAGGGGTTAGTGAGGGGATGGGGGGGACCCAGCACTTTTGATTGACAGGTGAATGAAGCTGCTGAACCAATGGGAGCAAGGTTAAAGAATAAAAAACAAAAAAAATACAAATTCAAAAAAAAAAAAAAAATAAAACAGGAGGGAGGGGATAAGCTGAGCTACTGATTTTAATGACACAATCTCCCATAAAGCCACAAAATGACCCACTATCCACTTTACCACGCTAGGATAGGGCTGTGTGTGTGTGCAGACACTGTTAATGTGTGTGTGGATATGTGTGTGAGTGAGTGTGGTGAGTGTGTACAGTCACTGTGATCCAGTCAAAACATGTTCATCAGTCCAATCTGGGGGAAAGGAGCTCAATAGTCTCTCCTTCAATCTCCTCCTCTCCTCTCCTCCTCATCTAAACACTTTCTGACTGATAAAACAGAAAGAGCAGAAGAAAGGAAAAGATGGAGGAGAAGACAAGAGGAAAGTTTTTGAGAGGAGAGCAGAGGAGTCCTGACTATTGATCTCCCTCCTGTTGAGCAGTGCTGTTTGGAGCCAGAGCCTTAGATAAACAGAGTTTGGCCAAGTCCAGTCAGAGCCATGCATAGACAGAAGTTCTCGCCGCCACTGGGCGTTTAAACGTTACAGTCTGTCTGTCTTTCTGTCTGTCTGTCTGTCTGTCTCTCTGGCTTCTATTGGTGGAGAGTCGCCATTTCCGGGTCATGTGACCTCTTGCTGCTGTCCCATTGGTTGAGTGGCCTAGTGGGTCTCTTTGAGGGCTTTGAGGAGAGGGGGGTTCTGGGTAATGATATGATCCTAGAGAGAGGACGACAACAACAACATCAACAAAAACAACTAAACAAAACAACAACAACAACAACAACCAATCGGGTGCTAGGTGGGTGGAGCGTGCAGCAAGACAGAGAGTGTGGAGGTGTGGCCTAACCTAGCATAGAAATAGAGGATCTAGAGCGAGCGGCACAACCACAGGCAGTGTGACAGAGCTTCTATCTGCTTAAGAATTTAAATATTTGTGTATGTAGCATTCATTTAGACTTTAGACCAACTGATTTTTGAGGCCGATACAATATTTAAATTTGGGATAAACTAGCTGATATTATAATGAATGTACAAATGTTTGGTTAAAACCCCTTCAAATGTTGTTTTTAAAGAACTGTGACACTGAACACAACATTTTGTAGCTGAAAAATAAACTTGC